TCCGCCACCCACGCGTCTTCACGTACACTATGCCACAACTACGCCCGACAAACCACAACCCAGTTTGCATGGAGCCAAACAGATCATGGAACATCAAAGCGAAGTCGAGCATGCACCGCTAGACGCGATATCAAAAGCAACAGGGACCGATCAAAACCGAGGCAACAATAAAACACAAGCACATTATTTATTTATTTTTAAAAATGGAAGGTTGGTGCTTGGCCCTCGGAGCCAACGAGGAACGTATGGCAGACATGGCTAGCACGAGACCCAACAATGCCACCGCTAAGCAACATGCCCCGCAACATCCACCCGTGTGGGTGGGAGAACGCAGGGGCAATTCGCATCGCTAGGCACCACGAGGTCCAATGCTAGGCACGCTTGCCTATTCGCGCCCACATGCGCCGCTCGTTGCCTCAAAGGGCTAAGCACCACCCGATGTCTACTTCTATCTAGTACCTTGCGAGGGGCAAGAAGGGGGGGCCTAGGCCAAGCTTGCCTTTTTTTTTTTTTTTTTATAGCCATGCCACCGCATTACAACATGCCCCCGACATCCACCCGGGTGGGTGGGAAAACGAACAAGCATGTCGCGTTGCTAGGCAGTACCAATTTGGCATTCTAGGCAAGCCCGACATCGAATCCCACTTCTTGCCAACTTCGGTCGGTGTTGAGCCCATGGGTGCTGCAAGTAAGAACATGACAAGGCCAGCATGGCGCATGCCCTAATAATGCCACCGCGCTGCAACATGCCCTCGACATCCACTCGGGGTGGGTGGGAGAACGAACAGGTACCTCGCATTGCTAGGCAAGATCAAGAGTTTAGGCACGCCTACCCCACAAGCACCCCTCGTTGCCCCCATGGGATCAACACCAACCTACATATTATTTGGCTAGCCAACCGCCAATTGCCATGCCACCGCACTGCAACATGCCCCCGACATCCACCCGAGTGGGTGGGAGAACGAACAAGCATGTCGTGTTGCTAGGCAAACAATTGCTGGTGTGCTAGGCAAGGCCTCTCCTAGCATTCCCACGCCTACTGGTTGGTGCTCGGCTCTCGTTGGCTTCGAGGGACACAGTGCAAGCGTGGCTAGCATGAGATCCAACAATGCCACTGCGCAGCTATGCGCCCCTGCGACATCCACCCGTGAGGGTGGGAGAACGCCAGGGCACATCACATTGCTAGGCACCAAAGGGTCCAATGCTAGGCACACCTGCCAATTCGCGCCCACATGCGCCGCTCGTTGCCTCAAAGGGTCAAGCACCAACCGCCTTGGAGGCCCTTGCAAGGGGCAACAAGGGGGAGCCGAGGTCAAGCTTGCCTTTTTGTATAGCCTGCCACCGCATTGCAACATGCCCCCGACATCCACCCGGGTGGGTGGGAGAACGAACAAGCATGTCGCATTGCTAGGCATTACCAATCGGCGTTCTAGGAAAGCCCGGCCTCGGAATCCCACTTGCTCCCAACTTCGGTCGGTGTTGAGCCCATGGGTGCCGCATATAGGCGCATGACAAGGTCAGCATGCCACATGCCCCAACAACGCCACCGCTCAGCAACATGCCTCGACATCCACCCGATTGGGTGGGAGAACGGACAGGTATCTCGCATTGCTAGGCATCATCGGAGTTTTAGGCACCCCAGCCCCACAAGCACCCACTCGTTGCTCCCATGGGACCAACACCAACCTACGTTTGCTTGCGGTGACAACACGCTAGAGCTCGATTATGTCGGCTTGCCCACCACCGATCACCATGCCACCGCGCCACGACATGCCCCCGACATCCACCTAGGGGGGGTGGGAGAACAAATGGGCATGTCGTATCGCTAGGCAAGGGTCCCTTGTGTGATCAGCTTTGATTACGTTTGGTATCCACTGGATTATCATCACCATTATCATTAACTTCCTCATCTTTTGGGTCATAGTTGGGATCATATTCCTCTTCATTATCAGAGGGAGGTTTGGTTGATGGATGAGCATGTTTACTGGTTGCTGTTGTGTCCTAGTATATTCTACACAATGTCTCATAATGTGGGCAACCTTTTTTCCTGAATTTTTTTGCATGCTTGTTGATTTATAAATAGATGAGTGATAGGAAACTAATTAACAATATATTTTTTATTTAAATTCTCATATAAGTAATAAATATTTTTATACATTGTTCAAATTGTCCCAAACATCATCTGGAAAAGTCACAGTTTTTATCTGGATCCCAACCAGCTCCCGTGGTGTTTGTAACTTGTCTGTGAAAATCCTTCCAAACTTGCCTTACAACATTAAATTTGTTCTTAAGTTTCTCATGGGTATATGCATAGCTAGTCCTTCATTTCAACTCTTGAAGCATGTAGTTCCATGACTCTCGAGTGAAAGTAGTAGTTGGCCTACTTTTCAAGGCAATTTGCTCATTCATTAACTCAATAAAAATTCTTAGTAGGCCACAGTTGATCAACTTTGGTTGGTTCAATTTTCATAACATCAGCATTATCTAGGTTTTGATTGAC